TTTCCCCCTTCCCTGGTTTTCTGTGAGCCGCCCTGAGTCCCCTCAGGGAAAAGGGCGGCCTACAAATGCAAATAAAACCTAAACCTAAACCTAAATAAACAAACATATTTTTATTTGGAGGCTTTTCTTGTTCAGTCATTATATTCATTCAATTTAGAGAACACTCAATTCCACAATTCTCTCTGGTTTACAATGTTAAAAACAAGCAAACAATAAAATAAAGATCATTTGTGCCCGCAGGAATGTTTTCTTTAATCAAATAAAATTGTATATGGGCTTAGCATCACCCTCCCCAAGGCCTGAGGGAGCAGCCATGCTTTCAATGCCATTTTAAACACCAGCCTGGGAGCTATATTGATTTTTTTCAATATAGCGAGGCACGCTTCCTAGGTCCCAAAAAACCTCTTCCTATAGAGCTTATAAGAATATCTTTTCATTTATGCTGGTGAGATACAGTGCATTCAGAAAGTATTCAGACCCCCTTCACTTTTGTCAATTTTGTTATGCTGCAGCCTGGTTCTACAGATGTTGAAATTCATCTTTTTCTCATTAATCTACACTCAGTACCCCACAATGACAAAATAAAAACAGAATTTTAGAACCATATTTTACTGTAATTTTTAATCACATTGATTGATTGAGCCTGTGCCTTCAAGTTGGTGTCAATTCTTAGCTATCATATAGCTAAACCTTTTTCAGGATAATTTGTCCCCAATATTCGGGTCATCCAATGACATACGCAACATAACTGTAATCTAATTTATCCACTTTGTGGCTAGGCATTCTCTTTATTAAATTTATATGCCGCCCATCTCATTATCAAACAATTCTATTCTTTCTTTCCATGTTCCTCAGCATTATGGTTTGCTCAACTATGCCTTTGCATAATGCATCCAAAATATGGTGATTTGAGCCTGGTTCTTTGTATTTAAAGTGAAAATTGTGTATTGAATTTTCCATAATTTACTTGGGGATATTTTTTTTTTGGCTATACATCATATTCTTTAAAGACATAACTCAGCAATACAGTCTCTATTAACAATAATCAAGCATACAAAGATTAAGACATAAGCATTTAAAAAAAGAATATAGTGATTATCAGTAGCATGGATTTATAAAACATCTTGTCAGTATTTTTAATCAATAACTTCCTTAGTATCTTATAAAGACTATGGGCATACTATAACTTGAGCTCAGCAAAATATTTAATAAGGTATCTTATGACATTCCTGGCTTGGAAATCATACATAAACAATGTTCATCAGTACTTCCTTATAAAACTGGAGTGGTGTAACAAATAGGGTGCTGCAGACTTTGGTAATGAGCTTGTATGTTTTAATATTTTTATTAATGTTTAAATGAAGATATATAGAAAGTTAATACATTTAAAAATACAAAGCAAATTCAAAACTGAACTGAAAAGTTAGAAAAGTGGACTGAAACAGAGTGAAATTTAATGGAGATAAATTCTTTATTTAGAGATAAAGAATCAAATGCAAAGTAGAGTTTTGCTAAATTAGATAACAACATGTGAGAAAAGCTTCATGAACTTGTAGTTCATTAAAAATAAATGTGAGTTGAAAAAGTATTATTAGCAGCTGCTAAAAAAAGTTGCTAAAAGCTGCAATTTTAAGTTGCATCTATAGAAGAATAGTATCCACCTTATAAAAAGTGATGGTTGGTTGGATGGCATCACAAACATTAAGTCTAAGAAGCATATTTTTAAGCACAGATTCTGAGAAACTGGAATAGGTAAAACTGACCCTGAGGATGGGCAGGACACTGCAAAGTTATAAGGAACCAATGAGGGTATGATAATTATTGAGAATAAAAAAAATGGAGGAGGATATCACTCAGAAGGTCAAAGGGGCCACCTGTTGTCCATATCTCTTAAGATATGGGACAATGGTCTTACACTAGAGAAAGGCAAATTTCAGTTGAATGCTATTAAAAAGTTTGTATTTGTTAAAAAAAAGATAATGACAGTGGAACCAATTATCAAGGGAGGTGATGAACTTCATTTCAACAAATGTCTTTAGGTGGACGGAGTAGCCTTTTGCAGGTTGCCCTGCCCTGAGCAGTGGGTTTGACTTGATGTCCTAAATGGCAGCTTTTACGCCTCTTATAGATTTTATGCATGTTAAACTATTGCATATATACATAGCCTTAAGTATCATGTTTTCACAAGATCATAAATGTTGTCAATATTTGTCTATTTACAAATTTCAGGAAAGAAAATAATGAAGTTTTCTTTCCTTAAAATGCAGAGAAAAATAATTTTAAAGACTTACTGATGCAGCTCTTGGAATGTCTACGATAATCTCTAATAGTACATATGTCCCATGTACCTTTTACTGGCCAGGCTTATCCTATAAGAAAAAGAAGATGCCCAATTAATGTACAAATCAGTAAAGCACAATCTTATTAGATAAACCCTTATTAGATAAACCCAATGAATATACTCAATCTAATTGCATACTTAATTTGATGTACATTAGCAGTAATGAAAAGTTCTTAGTGCTCATCAAAACATCCAATCCCTTATAACCTGGCTCATCAACCTTTGAAGTGATTCACAAGTTTACAGACCATGTATCTCAAACTTTATCATAAACTGATAACAAATATTAAATGTTAAGTTAGTTCTAATCAACTATAGAATCTTTCAGCACCTTTGGGTGAGTTACTGTTTTTTCAACTCAATTCCTTCTGAATAGATTTGTAGTAAGCTACTTCAGAATAGCTGTGAGAGAAACTAATAGCAATAGCAACAGCACTTAGACTTATATACCACTCAATAGTACTATACAGAACTATCTGAGCAGTTTATAATGTCATCATATTGCTCAGTGGTGGGTTCCAGCCGGTACGGCCTGGTACAGCCGTATCGGCAATGTTCCCTCTAAGCTGCGTGCCTGCGCGGGCGCGCACATAACAAGAAAACACAGAGCAGAAATTTCAAACTGCAGCGCAGTGTTTCTTTAAATGTGACTGAAAATATCCCCCCTCCCTCCTTCACTCTCTGCACAGAACTCTTTCCTCAATCTGGTGATTGGTGAAATCAAGGAAGACTGCCCGGACACCAATGATGCTGCAGAAGACAGAATTCCCATTGGTCCTATGGGGCTTCGTCGGTTCCTGGGAAAACGTGATTCGCTGGTTGTAGCCTGCGTTTCTCTGCACATCCAGGGTTTCTCAGGCATTGCGTCGTCTGAAGCCCCATTTTGGACTGGGCAGTCTTTCTGCGATCCCTTTGCTTTGGGGATATGGAACCAGCGTGGAATTGGACTGTCTGAGCCAAAGGGATCCATGGGATCTTGAGACTTGATTTTTGAGCAGTACCAATCTTTTCCACTCTTTCCTTTCCCTTTCTGTCCTTCTATCTTCCTTTACTTTTACTTTTCTTTTTCCTTTCCTTTCTCTTTTCCTTTCCTTTCTCTTTTCCTTTTTCCTTTTCTTCTTTTCCATTTCCTTTCCTTTTTCCTTTCCTTTTTCCTTTCCATTTCCCTTTCCTTCTCCTTTCCTTCTTTTCCATTTCCTTTTCTTTCCTTCTTTTCCATTCCCTTTCCTTTTTCCTTTCCTTTCTCTTTTCCTTTCCTTTCTTCTTTTCCTTTTCTTTTCTTTTCTTTTTCCTTTCCTTTT